ACACACATATGTATATATATCTATTGAATGGTAAAATATGTTTTCTTTATTCTAACTTAGTCCCTAGTTACACTTACAGACACTAAATAAGAATATAATCTTCTTATATACATATTATGTTCCTTGTGTTGTTCCTGGCATGTAGTAGATTTTCAATAAATATTTTCTGATTAGATGAATCACAGCCTTTGAAAACATAATCTTTTAAGTCAAAACATTTGAGTCAACTAAAGAGTCCAGAGTCTCATTACACTTACCACTGCTTAAATTCCTTTAAAGTTTCATTCCAGTAGTCCTAGGAGTCAGTGGGGGGCCTTTCTGTGGAGGTATTGGGATTGCTGGGTGGGGTCTTGCGGTTCACCGTAGATGGGATGACAATGCTCATGTTCATTTGTTGGGTGAAAACTGCAAAATTACAGAGTAGCAAGATGATGGTCAGTCCATGTCGGACTGAAAAAATGCCTGAGACGAGAGGGAACAGATAGTCTTATAATCAGAATGTTCTTCTCCCAACCTCCCTAATCCCAGAAATGGGAGAAGATTGGTGTCTGTGAATCAGAAATACAGGGAGAGCAGACATTTCTCTGTTGGTGTTTGGTGGACATACGTTCCCCTGGGAAGTGAGGGGGGAGGTAACTCCCTCAGAAACTTGCTCAAGCATAGACTTGAAGAATGAATGGAGTTAACTGGAGCAAGTATTAAGGAAGAGTTTTCCAGAAAGGGACCTGGAATGATCTGATGAGACTGAAAATGACAAGAAGTGGATTTAGAGAAAGAATTGACTGGAAGCAGTGATTGATTAGATATGGACACAGAGAGAAAGAAAGTTGCTGGAAAAGACTCCCAGGTGCCCTGTTTGGCAGCTGGAATGGTTCTCGGTGCCATTTATAACTAAGAAACATGGAAGATTAACATGTTTGAGTGTGGAGGGTGATGAAACTTGAAAAGTAGGCTAGGGTTCAATTACGCACTATGTCATCCTCACTCTAAGACCTTGTTCGCTGAATCAGGCTTTATCTGGAACATGGATGGTCTCATGGCAGAAGTAAAAGAGAAATCACGGTGAACTAGGTGCTGGCTTTTAAAGGTTTTACTTGAACACCACTTCCTCTCACATTTTATGGCCAAAGCAAGTTATACGTCCAAGCCCAATGGTACCATGGTAGAAAAGTAGAATCCTTTCATAGGGAGGGCCAGGGAATGGTTTTGAAATAATATAATCTATCTCAGTCCAAACTTCAATTCAAAATTATTCAGTTCACTCTCCTTTCTGCACACAAAATATACTTACTCTCTTCCCAAGTGAGCCAACCCAGAAATTCCGTTTAATTACAGCACCAGACCTGATGTCCATAATTTTTTATATTATCTCATCAGTGTGGATATGGCTTCTCTTGCTCCAAAACACATGAAATAACAAGATAAGGTGTCTGCTTCCCCATGCACACCCAATATATGATGCTAGAACAAGCGCAAGATAACTACAGAGGAAATACACAGTTGTCACTAGTTCAAGGAAGTCTGGAATCATGTGGGCAGCTATTTAAAATGATTTACACTCAACTACTAACCTACCAATGATTGTGAGGATGGTGCAGGACCAGGCAGTGTTTCATTCTTTTGTACATAGGGTTATGCTATGAGTCAGAAATGACTCGACGGCACCTAACCTAAAAGTTGTCAGTTCAAACCTTCCCAGCAGTACCGCAAAGAAAAGCCTGGGGATTTGCTTCCGTTAAGATTACAGCCAAGAGAACCATATGGAGCAGTTCTACTCTGTAACACCTGGGGTCGCCATGAGTCAGAATTAACTGGTTGGCAATGAGTTTGGTTTTTTTGGTTTATACTGGGGCAGCGAATAAAAAACAAAAAACAAATCAACAACAACAAAAACACCAGTTGTCGTCAAGTTGATTTTGATTCACGGAAACCCCCATGTGTATCAGAGTAGAACTGTGTTCCATAGCATTTTCGAAGGCTGATTTTTTAGAAGTAGATCACCAGACCTTTCTTCTGAAGCTCCTCTGGGTTGACTTGAATTGCCAACCTTTTGGTTAGCAGCCAGGCGTGTTAACTGATTGCACCACCCAGGGACACTAGGGCAGTGCATTGTTGTTGTTGTTAGGTGCCGTCCAGTCGGTTTTGACTCATAGTGACCCTATGTACTACAGAATGAAACACTGCCAGGTCCTGTGCCACCCTCACAATCGTTGTTATGCCTGAGCCCATTGTTGCAGCCACTGAGTCAATCCATCTTGTTGAAGGTCTTCCTCTTTTTCGCTGACCCTGTACTTTACTGAGCATGATGTCCCTCCAGGGATTGATCCCTCCTCAAAGGTGTGTGTCAGGGTTGTATACTTTCACCATACCTATTCCACCTGTACGCTGAGCAAATAATCCGAGAAGCTGGAGTATATGAAGAACAGGGCATCAGGATTGGAGGAAGACTCATTAACAACCTGCATTATGCAGATGACACAACCTTGTTTGCTGAAAGTGAAGACGACTTGAAGCACTTACTGATGAAGATCAAAGACCGCAGCCTTCAGTATGGATTACACCTCAACATAAAGAAAACAAAAACCCTCACAACTGTACCAATAAGCAACATCATGATAAACGGAGTAAAGTTTGAAGTTGTCAAGGATTTCATTTTACTTGGATCCACAATCAACACCCATGGAAGCAGCAGTCAAGAAATCGAAAGACGCACTGCATTGGGCAAATCTGCTGCAAAAGATCTCTTTAAAGTGTTAAAAAGCAAAGATGTCACTTTAAGGACAACGCCCTGTGCGATCGTCACACCACCCTGCAGCTTGTTGAGCTCCTCGTCGTTGCGGATGGCCAGCTGCAGGTGACGCGGAATGATGTGAGTCTCCTTGTCGCGGCCGCGTTGCCCGCCAGCTCCAGGATCTCGGAAGTCAGGTACTCCTGCACCGCCGCCAGGTACACGGGCGCACCGCCCCGATGTGCTCAGCGTAGTTGCCTTTGCGGAGAAGACGATGAACTCTGCCGACGGGAAACTGCAGGCCTGCCCTGGAAGATCGAGACTTGGCTTTTGCACGCGCCTTGCCACCTTGCTTCCCACGTCCTGACATAGTTCAAATGAAAGTCTGTTATAACGGAAAAAGTTACCGTTGGGGAAGGAGAAAGGGAGGAGGACAGTACTGGAGCCTATTTATACTCTGACCAGTACATTGTGATTTGCTATCTGATTGGCTAATGGAATGGCTGCCTATCCAATCAGAGAACCTTATTGGAATCACCTCATTTACATACATACCACTACCTATTAATCAATCAGATGTTGTTTGACTAACAAGTCATTTGAGTGCCTAGCCTATAAATACTGCTCTTTTCCCACACCAAACCCCGGTAAAGATTGGTAGTGTACACCGACAATGCCAGAGCTGACTTCAAAGGGTACCACCATTTCCAAGAAGGGTTTCAAGAAAGCTGTAACTAAAATTCAGAAGGAGGGGAAAAAACACAAGAGATGCCGCAAGGAGAGCTATTCCATTTACCTCTACAAGGTGCAGAAGCAGGTCCACCCGAACACTGGTATCTCCTCCAAGGCCATGAGCATCATGAATTCTTTTGTTACTGACATCTTCGAGCGCATAGCTGGTGAGGCGTCGCACCTGGCGCACTACAACAAGCGCTCGGCCATCCCGTCCAGGGAGATTCAGACAGCTGTGCGCCTGCTGCTGCCCGGGGAGCTGGCCAAACACACCGTGTCCGAGGGCACCAAGGCCGTCACTGAATACACCAGCTCCAAATAAAACCATGCCATAACCAAAGCGTCACAACCCAAGGGCTCTTTTCAGAGCCACCTACATGTTATAAAGAAACTGTGGGCTCTTAAAAAATAACATTTGTGGCTAGCTGAATATAAACTTTTTTTTTTTTTAGCGAGGTATCTTTTTCACACCATATAATGTGGAAAAGTAAGCAGCATAGATATAACATTTTCTTTAGAAACTCTAGACAAACTTGACTAATTCTAAACGTTGGTGAACTCATATAGGCGTTTTCAGCATTTTTCATGAAAGCTGAAAATCCATAGATGAAGTGACTTCAAAGAAGGTAGCCTTCTGTAGTTCATGTAGTTATGGTTTCTGGTGATGAGGGTACCAGGAGGACTGCAGCTGGCTTTTTGCTGGGATATCTTTTTTTTTTCCTGTTTCCAATTCATTCTATCAGAAGACAGAAAATGGCCTGGAGCTTAGGGAAGCTGGCATGGGAGCATTAAAGCTGTATTCACTTCCTCTTTACACTGGCTGTGGTGCATGAAAAAGTTCCTCCTATGGACCAGTCTACCTGCCCTGAAACTGCTGGGATTTGAGGCCCAAAACCCCAAGGTTTCCTGGCCTAATGATGTCCTGTATACACTTATTGTGATCTCTCTAGGCTGTTATTTGTTGAGAGCATGCTGATATATTGTAATATGGAAATCTTGTCATCTCTCTAAGGTATTTCATGTTGGAACTCAACATCTGGCTAACCACAATTGACTTGCAAACAGGAGTAACTTCAACCGAATCTCTCCCCTCTTTTTGCGTTACTTTTCTTGCAAGTTATGATAAGATCGCTTGTTTTCTCTCTGCACTCAGAGTACAGAAGATCATTAAAAACTGAGTTTGTGTCCCTATTTTTTAAGCCCATGTTACTGGGCTTAAAAATTGGGATGTTCCAACTTTGACCATGGGGTATGTATGAAAACAGGATGCCAAATATCCAAGTCAGGGGACTTTGGGTGCAAGATACACTCTTTCATGATTATCTGGACTTTTCTCAGAGAGTAGACAAGCATTAAAAAAAAAAGTGATAACAGACATTGAATTCAAAAGCTAAAAAGATGTGAGAATAGTTCAAATTATTACTACTTCCCAGAAACCTGTGTTTAGATGGATCTCCAACTTGACTGTTAATTTTTTGTTTATTAAAAAAGATTTAGTGTGTACATATATGCTTTCTTTAGCACCATTTGATAGGATATTTGAATGTACAGTAAAAAATCCTTGTGCACAGTGAGACAGTCCAGTATGAGAGGTGGCAGCATCTCTAATCAGGGCTCCCAGCTGCCTGATGAGACCCATAGGAAACAGCAAATATCTGCATAGCTCCCATATCCGTTCAACTCTCCAGTTAAAGCATGTATCATTTTCAGACTGGTTTCTTTAACTTAACAGTATGCATTTAAGATTTGTCCATTTCATTGTGTGGATCAATAGCTCCTTCCTTTTTATCGCTATATTCCATTGTATAGATATGTTACCATTTGTTTATCCATTCACCTATTGAAGCATATTTTGGTTGCTTCCACTTTTAGAACATTATGAATAGAACTGCTATAAACATTCATTTGTAGATTTTTGTGTGGACATCTTATCCAGTCCAGTTGGGTAAATATAGAGAAGCATTATTGCTAGGTTGTATGGTAAGCTTATGTTTAACATTGTAAGAAACGGCCCACTAGCAATGAATCAGAGTTCATTTTGCTCTGATTCCTCATCAACATTTGATATTTTCAGTGTTTTGGATTTCAGCCATTCTAATAAGTGTGTAGTGATATTTCACTGATAATTTGCAAATAATGTCAATCATCTTTTTATATGCTTATTTGACATCTGTATATCTTACTAGATGAGGTGTTTGTCCAGATCTTTTCCTCATTATTTAATTGAGTTGTTTTCTTATTTTTGGGTTTGAAGAGTTTTTTGTGTATTATGGGTACAAATTATTTATCAGATACGTGATTTGCAAATGTTTTCTCACAGTTTGTGGCCTGCCTTTTCATTCTCTTATCAATGTCTTTCACAGAACATAAGTTTTTAATTTCAAAAATGTTTAATTTCTAAACTTTTTTCTTTCATGGATTGTGTCTTTGGTGTTATATCTAAAAACCCATCACCAAACCCAACATTATATAGATTTTCTCCTATTATTTCTTCTAGAATTTTTATAGTATTGTGTTTTACATTTAGTTCTATGATCCATTTTGAATTAATTCTGGCGTATGGTGTGAGGTCTGTGTTGCAGGTTCTTTTATTTATTTATTTTATTTTTTGGTATGTGGATGTCCAGTTGTTCCAGCATCAGTTGTTGAAAAGACTGTTCTTTCTACTTAGAATTTCTTTTGCACTTTTGTAAAAAATTAGTTGACTATTATTTATGTGGGTCTAACCCTGGGCACTCTATTCTGTTCTCTTGATCTGTGTATCCGTCCTTTTGCCAATAATACAATGTCTAGTTGACTACTTCTTGACTTTTTGATTACTGTAGTTGTGTATAGTAAGTCTTAATATCGAATAATAATGTGAGTCCTCCAAATTTGTTCTTTTTTAAAAATGTTTTTGCTATCCTAGTACTTTTGTCTTCCATTATAAATTTTAGCATCAATTAATTGATATGTACAAAACAGCTTGCTGGGATTTTGATTGGGAGTGCATTGAATCTATTGTTCAAATTGGGGAGATTTGACATCTTAACAATGTTGAGTTTTTCCATCATGAACATATTTTATCTCTCTACTTATTTAGATGCCTTTTGAAGTCTTTCAGCAGTTTTTGTAGTTTTCCACATACTTTTTAAGATTTATACCTATGTACTTAATTTTTTGTGTTATTGCTAAATATTTTTCCCTCAGAACTTGATGTTTATTTTCATTTTTTAACAACCTTATAAGGATAGAATTTACATACCATAAAATTTAACCTTTTAAGATGTACAGTTGAATGGTTCTTAGTTCATTTTCAGAGTTGCACAATCAAACACATCCAGTCAGATAATAGTGTCACCTTTATGGCAAAAATTACCCAGCAGTGTACAACTACCTGAGACATTCCCTGAGCTTTTTACACTCTGTATCATCCCCAGACAGCAGGTGCCATTTAAAAACTGAATGGACTCTTAAAGAAGAAACTAAAAACTAATGACTGAACTGTCCATTCAACGTTATAGTTCTATTTAGATTTTCTATTTCTTTTTGAGTCAGCTTTGTTAGTTTGTGTCTTTCTAGGAATTTGTCCATTTTGTCTAAGTTATCTAATTTGTAGCATGCAATTGCTCATAGTATTCCCTTGTATTCCTTTTTCCATCTGTAAAGTAAGTAGTTCTGTCCTCTCTTTCATTCCAGATTTTAGTAATTGGAGTCTCCTTTCTTTTTTTGTTAGTCATTCTAGTTATGGGTTTGTTAATTTTGTTGATCTTTTCAAGAGTCCACTTTTGGTTTTGTTGATTTTATCTCTTTTTTCTGCTTTCTATTTCATTTATTTCCACAGAATTATTTCTTTTCTTTCTTTTGCCTACTTTAGTTTTAATTTCCACGTATTTGTGAATATCCCAAATTCTCTTCTGTCATTGATTTCTTGTGGATGAAGAATATATCAGGTACGATTTCAATTCTTTGAAATTGATTGAAGCTCCTTTATGGTCTAGCATGTGGTCTATCTTGGAGAATGTGCCACTCCATGCATAATATTCATAAACAAACATGGTCTCTAGTTTGTTTTTTCTGTCCAATATTTGTCAGCATTTGGTATCAATTTTATATTCAATTCATAAAAGTAATATGGAGGATGTCCATCTTTTTCTAAGTTCTGGAACAGTATATGGAGCTCTGGTGGCACAGTGGATAAGAGCTCAACTGCTAACCAAAAGGTCAGCAATTTGAATCCACCAGCTGCTCCTTGGAAAACTATGGGGCAGTTCTACTCTGTCCTATAGGGTCTCTGTGAGTTGGAATCAACTTGATGGCGATGAGTTTGGTTTTTTGATTTTGGAACAGTATACACAGCATTGGAATTCTTTGTTCTTTAAAGGTTTGGTAAAATTCCCTTGTGAGACTATTTGTCTTTAGTGACTTTTGTGGATCACAAGTCTTTAATGTATTTTTTTTTTCTTGTGTAAATTGTTCTGAAAGATTGATGATCTTTCCTGGAATCAATTTTAATCCATTACCTTTTTTTAACTCTCTAAAAATAAAAGGTAAGCCATGTGGCCTCTTATGATTCTGTTATTTCCACTGTGTCTGTTATTATAATTTGTTTATCATGTCTTAGGTCCCTGCGTAGCACAAACAGTTTGTACTGTGGAAGAAAGGGCTGGACATCTCCTTCCATAAAGATTACAGCCAAGAAAATCCTGTGGAGCTGTTCTACTTTGTAACATATGGGGCTGCCATGAGTCAGAATTGACTCCACAGCAACAAGTTTGGTTTTTGAATCATGTCTTAATTGTGTTTGTATTCTATGTTTCAAAAAAATGGTAAACCTATTTTATTTTTCCAAAAGAATGTATTTATTTGCTAGTTCTTTATCCCTGGGTTTATTAGTTCCACAGTTTTACTTGTTTCTAATTTATAATTTTGTGGTTTCTAAAATTTTATTTTTCATTATTAAACTACTTTCTGCTTCTGTTACCCTAATAAGGTCCATGCCCTGGAGGAGTCGAGCCAATGAAACTTACTCCAAGTCAGAAAGAGTGAGAAAGTTTTATTTTAAGAAGTATACACCACCAGGGATCTGATAGCAACACAGGCTGTCTCTATGGAGTCCCAAAAGGTATTTTTAAGTAACAGCTCCACGACCACAGGGAGGACAGTCTGAGCTCATCCTGGCCAGTTATTGACCAAAACCCACAGGGCCACGGCATCAACCACTCTTTGAACCATGAGAGAGAGGGACACCAGGGATAGCACAAGTTGGGTGAGGGCTAAGAGAGCTGCTTGCACTTTCCAGGCGTTCGCTGGCAGTACTGTTAGAGACAGGCCTTTTTTATC